ACACACACACACACACACACACACATTCTCAGGCTCAGTGAAGGTTAAGGACTAAGAATAGTTTGACCGCAGCAGCATTCGAAGTCTTGTTTTAGGGAGGTGACATTTATATCCTGTGGGACTCTGGACACTGCTGGACACACACACACACACACAGACACACACACACACACACACACACACACAGACACACACACACACACACACACACACGTCATAGGTCACAGGTCACATGTGAGCTGTTTTCAGACATGAACTGCGTCTGTCCAACATTTACTTGATCTCCGACACATTATCTTTATAAACCTTTGTTTTAAAGAACTTTAAAACTCTAATAATCAATAATATTAATATTTTCATAATGTAACAATATAACGACAAAGTAAAAAAGTTCTTCACTGAAGTTTAGTGTAAATCCGTTCAGTTGTTTTTGTGTTGACAAACAGAAAGACGTGAGTGAAAACTAAAGTTACTTTAACTTTGTCTATTTGTTATTGATGAACACATTAATAAAGAATCAATTAGTTATTAATTGTTGACGCCGTCTCACAGATTAAACTTCCTCAGTTAAACTAACTCAGCATTCGGTCTCAGTCCGACTTCAAACTAAAACTTCTCAGTTTTATCAAATGTTTGTTTATTTAAAAAATACTCTCACAGAAATATTCTTCAGTTTTTTTATTGTTTGAATCTGAAATTAAAGATGTTCTGTTCTCATGATATTCTTTGGAAATTGTGTCCATTCAGAGACCAACGTTTATGACATCATGAAATCATCACTCTTCAGAAATTAACTCTGAAATCAGTAAAAAGACAAATGAATTAAAAAAGTGTTTTAGTTTATATTGTTTTATAAACTGTTTCACCACAGTGGATAAAATCACCAGGATCTGGTTGATGTTAAAAATATTATTCTGTTGATTTTCAAATCTCATCGTAATTGACTTAGATTTGATGATAAGAACTGAGCTGTCTTCTCGAAGCACTGAGCTCCGTGTCCTCGCTCCCCGTCAGATCCAGCCCTACGAGAAGGTCCGGGCCAAAGGTCTCCCCGACGACATCTCCGCCTGCCTCAACAAGCTCGCTGTGGTCAAACTGAACGGCGGCCTGGGAACCAGCATGGGCTGCAAGGGTCCCAAGAGTCTGATCAGCGTCCGCAACGAGAACACCTTCCTGGACCTGACGGTGCAGCAGATCGAGGTAGAGACGCAGCGAGACGCAGCGAGACGCAG